GGGTCAGCGAGACCCCCGGTCCGAGCCCCCTTCCCCGGGGATGACCCCCTTCCCCGTGTCCCCGGGCCCCTGTGTCCCCGCGGGGCTGCGGGCTCCGGCCTCTCCCCACGGCCCCACGGCCTCTCTCCGTTTCAGGGACCGACGAGCACGGGCTGAAGATCCAGCAGGCCGCGGCCGCGGCGGGGACGTCGCCCGCGGAGCTCTGCGAGCGGGTCTCGGGGCTCTTCCGCCAGGCCCTGACCCAGGCCGGCGTCGCCTACACCGACTTCACGCGCACCAGCGAGCCCCGGCACCAGCGAGCCGTGAAGCACTTCTGGGGTGCCCTCCGCGATGGAGGGGTCCTCTACAAGGGCTCCTACGAGGGCTGGTACTGCACGCCCGAGGAGAGCTTCCTGCCCGAGAGCCAGCTGGCCGAGGGCACGGACGCCCAGGGCCGCCCCTGCAAGGTGTCCTTGGAGACCGGCCACGAGGTAACGGGCTGCAGGAGCACTGCGCGCTCACCTGCCGCTCTGCTCCGGCCAGATTTGGAGTGTTTAATGCTTCCCGTAGCCTATTATTAATTCGTGTTCGCTGAGACTCACCTGTATTTCAGTGGAGTGTCAGCTGCCAGACCCTGCCTGGCAGGTGCACATTGCAGCTACGTGCAGCGGGAAGGATTCAGCCCCTTCTGAGTCCACAGGCTGTTGACCTGGGAATGGTGTTCTACAGGAGTGATGACAGAAGCTGAACAGAAGGATAAGGGTATATTTCACTGAGGGGTTCCAACTTCCAGACCTGTTTTGTGAGACAGTACAGTTTGACCTCTGGACACTTACCCATCTCTTAAATGGGTTTTGGCCCTGCCTAAAGCACTGTAACATCACCTGCCTGTGGTCAGCCAGAATGTGCCCAGGAGTGTGGTATCTTCCCAAGCATTTCTCTCCCACTGTTTTCTTAGAAGGTGTGGGGTTACATGATTTAATCCAGCAACTACAGATAATCCTGCTCAGAGCTCAGCACAGGTTATGCTCCTGTGCTATTTGTATGAGGCTGGGATGTGGGAACATTGGTCCACACAGAAAAGGCTATATTGGCAAATAGTAATTCTTGAGAAAGCGCCTAAGATCTAATTGGGGAAAAGATAAGTTTACAGGCAAAGTAATCATTCTTTAGACTTAAAACAGTTAGCAGACTTCAAAGTTAAGAATACCCTGAGAACAGTTCGGGGCCTCACCTGTGTGTTGAACTGTCCAAGGAAATAGGATTGTTCATGGAGCAGAGAAGTTCTTGCAGTGTGGTGAGCAAGGATGGGACGGTTTATTTCCAACCTGAAAGAGGCGGTTGGGCAGTTCGTTCCTTGGGAATTTTGTGAAGGAAAAGGGGGAGTTTGCACATGCCACAAACCCCAGACTTCTGGTGAGTGAGTGGGTTCTGGCATCTGGTGGAGCCTGGGGCTGAGGACGTACAGCTTGTCTTTGATGATGCTCTTTAGGTCTTCCTTGTACACTGCAAGATTGCTGACCCAGCCATGGATCCCTGAGTGCCTTACACAGCTCACTCGTACCACATCCACCCACTACGTTTTCACTGGTTTAGCTAAATGTGTCATTTAATGGATTTAACTGTGGGGGAGAAGTGCTGTCAGTGCTGTAAGCAAACAAAGTTAGTGACTTAGATGCATTAAAGCATAAATTGAGGAAAAAGAGAGTATGGCCCCAGGAGAACAAAGGCAGGCACCAGGAGTGGCAGTAGGGCAGGACTTACAGTGTCATTTTGTCTTTTCATGATTTTCCAGTATTATTGCAAAACTATGTTGTTAAGAAGGTGTATTCTCATCTCCCTAACTCCTTTCTGATGTCCCATCAGCCTGGCAGGTAATCCTTCCCAGGGTTACAAGTGTTTTTAGAAGCAGGATACTGAACCATCCTGGGTGCCTGAGTCCTCAGGTGTGTTCCTGGGGATCCCAAGGAGGCAGTATCTTGGGTAAGAAGGTTGCTACCAGTCACGGAAAGGTGCTGACAGCTTCCCATGGCATGGGAGAACACCCAGACACAGGCAGTGTGTGACAGCCTTCATGCTGAGAATGGTGTGTGCAAATTGTCAGCCTGTTCTTGGGCCATAATCCTTTCCTCTCCTGCTGTGCCAGGTGCACTGGACCAAGGAGGAGAATTACATGTTCAGGCTCTCAGCATTTCGGGATCCCTTGCAGAACTGGCTCCGGGACAACCCACGTGCCATTTTTCCTGACCCTTTCTACCAGTGCGTGCTCCGTTGGCTGGATGAGGACCTGCCAGACTTGTCAGTGTCCCGTGAGCGAAACCGGCTGCAGTGGGGTATCCCCGTGCCCAGTGACCCCACACAGACCATCTACGTCTGGGTGGATGCCCTGGTGAACTACCTGAGCGTGGTGGGGTACCCTGAGAGCCATGGCGCGTGGTGGCCGGCCGTGCACCACGTCGTGGGCAAGGACATCCTCAAGTTCCATGCGCTGTACTGGCCGGCGCTGCTGCTGGCGGCAGGGCTGGAGCCCCCTGAGCGCATCCTGGTGCACTCCCACTGGACTGTGCGGGGCCAGAAGATGTCCAAGAGCCTGGGCAACGTGGTGGACCCCAGCGTGTGCATGGGGCAATACGGCGTGGACGGGTTGCGGTACTTCCTGCTGCGGCAGGGCGTCCCAGAGAGGGATTGTGACTACTATGATGAGAAGGTGGTGAAGTTGGTGAATTCAGAGCTGGCAGATGCGCTTGGGGGGCTGCTCAATCGCTCAACAGCCCCCAGCATTAACCCCAGCAACACCTACCCCTGCTTCTCAGAGCCCTGTTTCCCAAAGGTCCTGGATTCCAGAGAGGCAAGAGGCACAGGCAGGGCGTGTGCTGAGGACTACAAGCTTGTGGCAGCAGTGGCCTCACTGCCTGTACAGGTGGACAGTTATTTTGAAGGCTTCCAGATCTACAAGGCTTTGGAATGCATTGCCCAGTGTGTGAGGCAGACCAACGGCTTCTTCCAGAGGCACAGGCCTTGGAAACTTGACCGAAGGGATGCTGTGGAGCAGCTCTGGCTGGACACCATCCTGCACGTCACGCTGGAGTGCCTGCGCGTGTATGGGACGCTCCTGCAGCCCGTGGTCCCACACATGGCGGACAAGCTGCTGTCCCGGCTGGCTGTTGGGCCAGGAGAGAGGCACCTCTCTGCTCTGACATTCCTGGCACGCTATGATGGAAAGCCATGTCCCTTTGAGGGGAGGCAGCTCGGACCTGACACTGGCATCTTGTTCCACAGGCTGGGCAAGTTGGAAACTATGAAGAAGAGAAAGCAAGAAGCTCAAGTCCCTGACAAACAGCTTCTGTGAATAAAAACTTCCAGGAATTCCTGGAAAACATTGTTAAAAGCACTTTCCTCCTATTCCTGGTGGTCGTGTGGAGGGGTGGGAAACTGGCCTGAGCAGGGAGGATCAAGCAAGCCCTGAGGAGAGATGGGCTTGGTCCTGGGCCTCCTTGGTGTTGTGTCCTTGCACAGGGAGATGGAAGAAGAGTCACTCTGCAATGTCCTCATCTCACTTTTGGTCCACAGGTTTTTGGCCAGGTCAGAAGTAGCTGGGGGTGGTCAGAAATGGTTCTGGGGGGCCCTGGTGCTCGTTGGGTCTCTCAACTGAGCTCCCTCTGTGGGCCAAATCTAGTCTGAGTGAGCCTTAATGGAGACAATCCTGTGTGGCTGCTCTTCATTCCTAGGGCAGGATGGTACCATGGTCAGACAGTGTGTCTCATTCTCAGTGTGTCTCATTCAGTCTCTCAACTGAGCTCCCTCTGTGGGCCAAATCTAGTCTGAGTGAGCCTTAATGGAGACAATCCTGTGTGGCTGCTCTTCATTCCTAGGGCAGGATGGTACCATGGTCAGACAGTGTGTCTCATTCAGCAGTGCAGGACCTGTAGACATGACCAGAATGGGAAAGGGGGGCATGTGTTTCATCAGACTCAGCTTTCTGAGGCTTTTCCAGTTGCTGCAAGGCTAGTGCACCCTGTTTTATGTCCATGCTGCTGGAAGCAGATGAGCACTGACACTCTGGGGTGGTGGTGACCACTGGGATTCTCTGGTAAATCCTTCCCAGCCTCTGGCTCCTGCAGGTCCCATCAGTGCTAGCACTGGAGGAGTCATCTTCCAGGGGCCCATTTTGGGGGTCTTTGGGTTCTTTGGGATCACCTGGGTTGAGTGAGCAGGAGCTGTGCCCCATGTTCCCATCAGTCCCCATGCCACTGTTGCTGTGCCATTGCCTGATGCTGTCCCAGTCCAGCTGACCTGAGTCCCCTCATCCCCTCCTGCCATGGCTCTCCTCTCCTCCTGCAGATTGTCGCCTGCTCCCCTCACTTCTGCAATCCTTGTGTGCGTGCTTCCTGCTGCAGCCCCGTGCCCTCGTGCCGTGGGTGCTGACTCCCCACTGCCCTGTTTCTTGGGGCAGGAGGGACACATCCCCTTCCTGGTCTCTGATGCTGGCACACGGGGGCTGTGGCTGCCTAGCTGGACATGAAGAGGGTCATTCTGGCACCGGCGGTTGTGATCCCACTGCCACGTCTTGGCACTGGGACCGTGCGGATGTTGGTGATCCCGCTGTCTGGTACCGCCTCGCTGTGCCCCTCGGTCTCTCGCTCCCTCCGGGAGGGGCCAGGCCCGCTGCCCGCAGCCCTGCCGGTCCCTGCCGCTCCTGTGGGAACGCTCGCGCCGGCCCGGGCTGAAGGCTTTCAGTGCCCGGTGTGTGGCGCAGGGCTGGCCTGGGGCCGGAGCTCTGAGCCGGGCCAGTGCCGCTGCCGGAGCCGGGAACGTAGGGCGGAGCCGCGCGGTGCCGGTGCCGCTACGCGGGGCGGGGACGGGCCGTGCCGGAGCCGGTGCGTGGGGCGGGACCGTGTGGTGCCGGTCCCGGTACGTGGGATTGTACCGGTGCCGGTACGCGGGGCGGGACCGTGCAGTGCCGTAGCCCGTGTGTGGGGCGGGGCTGTGCCGGTGCCGCTACGCGGGGCTGCGCCGGTGCCGGTGCGTGGGGTGGAGCCGTGTTGTGCCGGTGCCGGTCCGCGGGGCGGGGACGAGCTGTGCCGGAGCCGGGGTGTGGGGCGGAGACGAGCGGTACCGGTGCCGCTATCCGGAGCTGTGCCGGTGCCGGTCCGCGGGGCGGACCCGGTGCCGTGCAGTGCCGTAGCCGGTCCGCGGGGCGACGCGCCCCTATGAGCCGGTGAGGCCGCAGCGGTGCGGGAGGGATGGCGGCGGGCGGCGGCGGAGGGCGACCGCCGGGCCCCGACCCCGCGCTGGAGCCCTACGTGCAGACCCGCATCTTCAAAATCATCGTGATCGGAGACTCCAACGTGGGCAAGACGTGCCTGACCTTCCGCTTCTGCGGGGGCACCTTCCCCGGCAAGACCGAGGCCACCATCGGCGTGGACTTCCGCGAGAAGACGGTGGAGATCGAGGGGGAGCGCATCAAGGTGGGCCCCGCACCGGCTCCGGGCTGGCTCACACCAGCCCCGGAGGGACCCGCTAAGCCCGCGGTGGGTCCCACACCGGTACCAGTGGGCCCCGCTCTATCCTCTGTGAGCCCCACTCTGTCCCCGGTGGGCCCTGCACCGGCCCCGATCTGGCCGGCAGCAGCCCCAGCAGCGATGGCAGCCGGTCCCCGTCCCTGCCTCTTGCCAAACCCCTCCTGAGGGCTTTTCCTTTCATCCCAGTTGGAGGGAGGGAACAGGGCCAGGGAAGAATTCTCGTCCCTGTGTTGCAGAGATGGCCCTGGACCAGTCCCTGCTGCCTTGTCACTATTTCTGGGGTTGGCTTGAGCATGCAGAGATCAGAACTGATGGCTCCGGGTGAGTCACCGCCACCCTTGCGATGGGCACAGCTGGATCCTCGCAGTGTTGGGGTGGCGCCAGCTCCGGACACTGGACAAGCAGAAGGGTAGAGCTGCGGTGGGATGGGGGACGGGGCTCTGTGCCACAGCCAGGGGGTCTGGAGGGGCAGAGGGTGGTGGGCTGGCAGCAGCCACACTGGAAGGCTGAGAGCTCACACGGGCCAGTGGCAGCGGGCTTGGCCGCTGTGGCACCAGCGGTGCAGGAACCTGCTCCCAGCTGCACCTGGAGCTGTGATTGCAGCCAGATGAATTTTCTTATGAAGGCTGGTGTGACACCTGTAAAGAATGATCAGCCCAGACCTGAAGAGCTCTGCCTGGTGTGTCAGAACAAATCTGGCACTGGTAGGAACCACCTGGGAGCAGAGTTTGTGGTGGAGCTTGGCCTGCACAGCTGTGGGGATCAGCACCCACAGCCCCTGAGGCTGGTGCTGGAAGAACAAACATCGCTGCTGTACTGACAGATGGCTGATGAGAAGTTGAACTCACAATGAAACCAGACCTTGTGTTGGTGGATGAGAGCTTTAGCTGTGCTTCTAGGCTGTCCATGAATGTTTTCCCCTCTGTTCTTTAGAGGTGCTCATCCTCCCTACCCTCCCGGGCTCTGTCCAGCCCCAGGGAGCTGTGTCGGTGTGAGCTGTGGTGCAGGCTGGCATGGAGCCTGTTTGCTGCCACTATCTGGAAAATGTTGCCAGGTTTTCTACCTTTGGATATTATTTGAGCTCCAGTGGGCAGGAGTGGGAGGTAGTGCAGCAAACCGACCTTTTCCTGGGATATGTATCCTAGAGAGGAGGTGAGAGGTGGGACAAAGACCCTCCTTCTCTTGCTCTGCCTGGGAGAGACTGGCCCTGAAAGGACTGAGCAGCAGCTCTGCTCTCCAGCATTTTTCAATTGGAAAGACTCCGAGGCAGGTACTGTCTCCATGGGTACAGGGCAATTTGGATTAACTTGGAAATTGCCACTTCCAGGCTACAAAACATTTCCAGGAGAACCCAGACTGACCCCTGGAGCATGCTGCTGGTTACCAGTGTTCAACCAGACTTGGTGTCCCTGACCAGCACCGGCTAGGCCCAGACATTCAGCCAGTTCCCAATCCACCTCATTGCCTGCTCATCCAGCCCAGAGGCCTCCTGCCGTCTCTGTCACATGGGTCAGGAAGTGACATCGATGGTGTCCTGGAATGTTCTGGATTTCCTGTGCCCTGCTGTGCTGTTCTTCCCTGAGATGCTGGGGTGGCTGAAGTTCTCTGTGAGAACCAGGGGCTGCAAACACAAGGCTGCTGCTCACTGTTCACAGAGCACCTCATCTGCTTGCTCTGCCTGGCCAGGTGGTCTATAGCAGAGACCCTCTACAATGTCATCTGTGATGTTTTGTTTTTTAATCCTCCCCCATGAGCTCTGTTGACTCCTCACCCATCCCCACAGAGCTCCTGGCCCTCCCACTCTGCTCCTACACAAAGGGTGGCTCTCCCTCCTCATTTTCTCTTTTCCTCTGTGAAATCATCAGCGTTCTCATTCATGGCGTAGGCTTTGGTGCACAAATAGACATGGATCTGTTGGAATGAGTCCAGAGGAGGCTGCAAAGATGCTCTGAGGGCTGCAGCCCCTCTGAATTCAGGCTGGAAGAGCAGGGCTTTTTCAGCCTGGAGAAGAGAAGCCTTGGGGGAGATGTTAGACCCCCTTCCAGTGCCTGAAAGGGCTCCAAGAGAGCCAGAGAGGGACTTGGGAAAGCAATGAAGGGACAGGACAATGGCCTTAAACTGAAGGGGGGCAGGTTTAGATTGGATATTGGGAAGAAATTTTTGGCTGTGAGGATAGGGAGACCCTGGCACAGGGTGCCCAGAGCAGCTGTGGCTGCCCCTGGATCCCTGGAAGTGTCCAAGGCCAGGCTGGACAGGGCTTGGAGCAACCTGGGACAGTGGGAGGTGTCCCTGCCCAGGGCAGGGGGTTAGACTGTATGATCTTTAAGTTGCCTTCCAGGCCAAACCATGCTGGGACTCTGAAACCCAGACAGCAGGAAGACCTCCTGCAACCCCTTCCCCATGGCCTTGCCAGGGCCATGCTCCACACTCCTGTAGCATCTTTTCTTGTCTGCTTCACTTCCCAGGTGCAAGTGTGGGACACAGCTGGCCAGGAGAGGTTTCGGAAGAGCATGGTGGAGCACTACTACCGCAACGTGCACGCCGTGGTCTTTGTGTATGACGTGACCAAGATGAGCTCCTTCACCAACCTCAAGACGTGGATCGAGGAGTGCAACGGGCACGCGGTGCCCCCGCTCGTCCCCAGGGTGCTCGTGGGGAACAAGTGTGACTTGAAGGACCTGATCCAGGTGCCATCCAGCCTGGCCCTCAAGTTCGCCGACGCTCACAACATGCTTTTGTTTGAGACCTCGGCCAAGGACCCACAGGAAAGCCAGAACGTGGACGCGATTTTCATGTGCCTGGTGTGCCGGCTGAAGGCGCAGCGCTCGCTGCCCTGCCGAGACACGGAGGGCTGGCCGGCGCAGCCCCAGCCGCACCCCCGGCGGCTGGACGAGGCCAGCGGGAAGGGCTCCTGCCCGTGCTGAGCGGGACCCGCCCGGACCCCAATAAAGGCTCTGAGCCCCCTGTGCTCCGACTCTTGTTTTGCGCCTCAGCCCAGTCGGCCGTAATCGTCTGTGATCGGCTCGGCTCGGCTACTATCGGTCCGGTTCGGCATGCAGCGTTCGGCTGCAGTCGGCCCGATTCGGCTGCAGTCGGTCCTGTTCGGCCGTGCTCGGGCTATCTCGGTAATTGCAAGTGCCCTGACTCGATTGCAATCGGCTCGACTCGATCCCATTCGGCTAGAATCGGTCGACTCGGCTGCTATCGGCTACGTTCGCCTCGGCTCGGGGCGGGGCAGTGCCGCGCGCAGGCGCAGTGCGCGTTGCCGCCGCCATGAAGTAGGTGTGGGGGTGTGGGGGCGCAGGCCGGGCTCGGCCCTGTCCCGCCGTTGCTGTGGCTGATGGTGCCTCGCCCGCAGCCCCCTGACGAAGGTGAAGCTGATCAATGAGCTGAACGCGCGGGAGGCGGAGCTGGGCGTGCAGGAGGCGGTGTCGTGGCACGCGGAGTACAAGGACAGCGCTTGGATCTTTGTGGGTACGGACCGGGCTAGGGGTGGGGGCCGGTGCTGGTGCTGGTGCTGTTGACCCGTTCCTTCCCTTCCCTCTCCCCGCAGGCGGGCTGCACTACGCGCTGACCGAGGGTGATGTCATCTGCGTGTTCTCGCAGTAAGTGCCGCAGCCCCGGCCCCGGCGCCGCGGGCGCTGCCGCGGGCGCTGCCGCGGTGCTGACGGTGTGTGTGTCACAGGTACGGCGAGGTCGTCAACATCAACCTCGTGCGGGACAAGAAGACCGGGAAGTCCAAGGGTTTCTGCTTCCTGTGCTATGAGGACCAGAGAAGCACCATCCTGGCTGTGGATAACTTCAATGGGATCAAGGTGAGTGGAGCTCAGGCTCTGCCGTGGCTCCCCGAGTGCTCCCTCCCGTCGGCAGCGGTCCTGGGGGCCGGGAGCCGGCGGTGACAGCCCGGCCCCGCAGATCAAGGGACGGACCATCCGCGTGGACCACGTGGCCAACTACCGGCCCCCCAAGGAGTCTGAGGACTGGGATGACGTGACTAGAGCCCTCCATGCCAAGGGCTGCGGGGTCAAAACGCCACCCCACACCTCGTCCGACTCCCCGTCTGAGGATGAGGATGTGCTCGTGAAAAAGCAGAAAGGTAAGGAGTGTTCCTGGCAGGCTGGATCCCGGGTGGGCGTGCCCATGGGATGCCCAGGGTTTGGGGGCTGGAGTCTACGTGGAGAGAAGGTTGGAGAAACAAAAATGGGCACAAAATGAGAGTGGGAATAAGATGTTGCTACAGAGTGCTGAGGAGATGCTCAAAAATGAGGGAGAAGGAGAGCCATGAGGGAAGAGTCCTCAGGCCTGGAGAGGTAATTTCCACAAAGTGGATCACATTATTACTGAGGAAGGGGAATGAAAGGGAAGTTGGAAATTCTCAGCATTCCAAGTGGTGTGGAAATGCCCAGAGTTGTTGGGAAGAACAAGATGTGAGTGTTAAAGAGAGAAGTGGGGTGGCTGCAGCTGGAGGAGAAAAAGTTGTGATTGGAAGTGAACCGGGATCTCCCTGAGGGGGAAGCAGGCTGGGAAATTGGGTGGAGGGGGAGAATTTGTAACTGAAGCTGAGCTGGGATGGTGCCAGGGGAGCCATGGGGAGCAAGCTGCTCCTGGAGTTGGGTCCATCCCGAAATGTGAACCCTAATTCCAGAGAAGCAGCGGAGCAGAGCAGAACGGTCAAAGTCGAGCCCACAAGCTGGGAAGCGGGTGAGCACGGAGGAGCCCCATCCCAGGATCAAGATCAAGAAGGAGAAGGAGGACCCGGGGTACGAGCGCTATGCTGGCGGGAGTGCCGGCAGGAACGCCGGGAGCAGGACGCAGCGGGATGAGGAGCAGCGGCGGCACCAGCGGCACTCGGACAGCAGGGGGGACAAGAACTGCCGCGAGCAGAGGGGCCAGAGCGGCTCCTGGGAGGAGCGGGAGAAGAGGGAGGAGGCTGGCAGGAGGGGCGACGGGCACAGCAGCCGGCAGGACGCGTCCCCCAGGGGAGGCAGATCTCGGGAACTCCATTCCAGGCACAGGGAGCGGGGCTCTGGCAGAGACTCTGGTCGCTGCTGAGCTCTGGGTGAGCATTTGGGGTGAGGGAGGTTCTGAGCCTGCCCAAGCCTGCTCCAAGCTCCTGGGATGCCATGGCTGGACCTTTCACCTGGGAGCTTCCCCCTTGCCTCTCATCCCACCCTGGGCCAGGGCTCTCCACGCTGCCTGTGCTGCTGGCTGGGACAGGGCCCTGTTCTTCGACTGGGGAGGGTGTCAAGCAGTAAAGGCTGGGAGCAGCAGGATGCTCCCCTTCCCTAAATCCTTTGGGATGGTGTCCCCCTCTTGCACCGGGGGCAGAGGCTGCTGGGTGTTCCATCTGGCCTCGTGGGCCAGGTTTGGGCCCTGTGCCCACCCAGCATCTTCTGGATTCCGTGATGAATCCATAGGGCTGCACCGCTGTGGTTGGGGTGATTTATTATGGATTTGTTTAAAGGTTTCTTAATAAAAGTTCCTGATAGGGAGAAGCTGGTTCCAGGAGCACTGTTCCTGTCTGTGGGTCAGGGAGGAGGTGTCATTTGTTTTTCTTACGCTGATTTTAGGCTTATTTGGCTGGAAAACCGGGAGCGACGGAGTGTGGGATTCGCAGGGCGGAGAAGGGAGGGGCTTTAACTGGACTTGGTTCCTATAACGAGTCCGTGCCTATAACGAACCCGTTCCTATAACGGGTCGGTGCCGCTTCTGGGCGCAAGGGGGAATTTCCTCCCCGGAGCAGCCGGGCCCGCTCCGAGGCATCCGCGGGGGCTGCGGCGGGGTTGGGGTGCGGGAAGCCCCTGCGGCTCCCACCGTCCCGGCGCGGTGCCGGCAGGGGGCAGGCGCGGCGCGGCGGTGCAGAGCCCGGTTCCGGTCGCGGTTCCGGTTCCGGTCCCGGCCCGGTGTCGGCGGCGCGCGCGGCGGTGTCCGCCCGCCATGCGATGTCCGCACTCAACTGGAAACCCTTCGTGTATGGCGGGCTCGCCTCCATCGTGGCCGAGTTCGGTGAGGCGCAGGGGCGGGGCGGGACCGGGACGGGCGGGACCGGCAACGTACGGGCGGGCGCTGAGGCCGGTGTCCCCGCTATCCCCGCAGGCACGTTCCCCGTGGACCTCACCAAGACGCGGCTGCAGGTGCAGGGTCAGAGCACCGACGCGCGGTTCCGCGAGGTGCGGTACCGGGGCATGTTCCACGCGCTCTTCCGCATCTGCCGCGAGGAGGGCGGACGGGCCCTGTACTCGGGGTGAGCACCGGGGCCGGGCCCCTCGGGGCCGGGGCCCATCGGCAGCGGGTGCCGCTTCCCCCGGGGCCCCATCCATCCGTACCGGGACACCCACCCATCTGCCACGGGTTCTCCACCCGGCCCGGCGCCTCCTTGCACCCACCCGGGCATCCCCGGCGCCTGCCCCGGGTCCTTCTCCTCTGGCTCAGGAGCCCCCACCGCCTGTGCTGGGCTCCCTCTTCGGCCGCAGCATCGCCCCGTCTGTCATGTTCGCCCCCACCAGCCCGTCCCAGGTTCCCCCTCCGTCCCGGCATCTCCCTCCGCCCACCCCGGGACCTCTCCCACACCCCGGCATCTCCCCCTGCCTTCCCCGAGTCTCCCCCACCCATCCCGGGTTATTCCCCTCTGCCCGCCCTGGCCCTGCCCTGTCCTGCCTCTTTCCCGGCACCCCCTCCCCAGCCCGGGTCCCCTCTTCCACCTTCTGTCACGGCATCCCTCTGCTCCCTTGCTCCCTGCCCATCCCGGCCCCCCATTTCCTGTACGCTGCTGTGACCCCCTGGATCCCTCCCTGCCTTGTCTCCCTGAGCGGAGTCCCCCGGTGTTCCTGAGCCGGGGAGCAAGGCTAGGGCCGCATGGGTGCCATCCCCTGGCACTGGGGTGCGTGGGGCAATCCCGGATAACCCGGGCAGAGCTGCATTCTTCGGAGTCCCAGCGGGGTTGGGCTTGGCCCCAGCAGTTTGAGGGCGGGTGGGAGTGGCCCGAGCTGGCCCGCAGGGATTCTCAGGGTCCGTTCCCCCTCAGGATCGCCCCGGCACTGCTGAGACAGGCATCCTATGGCACCATCAAGATTGGCATCTACCAGAGCCTGAAGCGGCTCTTCGTGGATCGCATGGAAGGTTGGTGTTGGGGAAGGGCAGCACGAGCACCTCCCAGCTCCCCTGCCTCACACTCTGGGCACCTCCCAGCTCCCCTGCCTCACACTCTGGGCTGTGTGTTTTGCTCATTCCTGGCTCTGTCCTTTCCATCCCAAGATTCCCACAGGAATGGAGCTCCATTACTGGGTGCTGTGGTTTTGTTTGTCAGTGAGAGCAAGGATTGGATTCAATCCTGATGGGAACCTCACTGTGCTCTGCACTGCCTGTGGCTCCTACCCAAACATCTCCTTCTAGCCAGATTCCTTCCTTTCATGGAATCATAGGAGAAACACAGAATCCTTTAGGTTGGAAAAGACATCCAACCTGTGTCTGATCCCCACCTTGTCCCTAGCCAAGAGTGCTGAGTGCCACATCCAGTCCTTCCTTGGACACCTCCAGAGGTGTCCATACCTCCACTTCAGACCTCCCTGGGCAGCCCCTGCCAATGCCTGACCACCCTTTCCATGAAGAGATTTCTCCTGATGTCCAGCCTGAGCCTCCCCTGGCACAGCCAGGCACATTCTGGATAGGAATTGTGCAGTCCAGCTCTCTGGCTTTGGCCCTGACTGTAAAGGTGAGGTTCCACCAGTGCCCTTGACCTGTGCCCTCTGCAGCTCCTGCCTGGGGAGTGGAGCAGCAAGAGTCTGGTGGATGTTCCCTGAGGGAGCACCGAGATCTGCAGGTGAGATTTCCATCCCTGCTGTGATATGAGGGAATGGTGTAACACTGTTCCAGCCTGGGAAAGCGGGATGGGCAGGGGAAATACAGCACACTAACGATACCAAGCTGTCTCAGGGGAGCTTTAGGTTGGTATCAGGAGAAGGTTTTTTTCCCAAG